TGTGTACCTCACTTGGGATTTTTTATTTTTTTGTTTTCTGAAAGTTTTATGATGTGTTGAAACTCTGCGTTGTTAACTCCTTCAACCCTTCCCTGTTGCTTGTGGGCTTTTTCTCTGTTTAGCTCTCCATATTATTGTGCCTTTTAAGCTCCACTTGACTGGTTTTATTCATCAGTTACTGAAGAGACAATACCAAGAATAAACTTCAGCCTTTGTACCATTCATCTCAGTGCAGTGATCTTTTACAAGGAATGAATAATGGTGTTGTGATGCTTTGGAAATTAAAGCAAATGCGTACCAACCACTGAAACACCTATTTTGATGTAAGAAAGCTGTGGGAGAGGTCAGCAAAGAAGTAATTGACAGATGTTTTTGATAATACTACCCATGTTAGCTGGGAGACAGTACATTTGGTGACTTGGCAGGCCTGACAGTGAACTGGGACCCTTGTTGGATTACCTGGGCAGCTTGTGTTCCCGGGGAACGCTGACTTTTTTTCCATCTCTAGAAATAAATGTGTGTGAGTGTGTAAAACTGAAACTGTTTGGCATGTGCATTTCTTCATGACTCTTCAGGCAAGCCACTACTGACACAGTCTCAGGAACATAGTGTGGTGTGATGGGCTGTACACATACATTTCTAAAGGCAAAGATCTTCAGCTCCAACGCAGGCCTATTTTTTTCTGTCTGTCATTGTCCATTGAGTCAAGGTGAGACCATACTCCATTTCATGAGTGAGCAGTGCAGTCACTGAAGGTTTTCAGTGGCACAGGGCAGCTGTTCAAAACAAGATGGTATTTATTAGTTCTCTGTTATGGCACGTAGAGCAAGGCCATGTTTGGGTTGCAGAATTAAGCTTAAGATGGAGCCAGTGGGGAATGAAACATCCTTGGATTTTTAAACATATTGGATATCCTCTCTGTGTCCCGATGTGTGAAGCCCTTGCCACAGCCTCATACTTCAGGATACTCTTTAAATCTTTGTTGACGATTTGGATGAGGGGATTAGGTGCACCATCAACAAGTTTGCAGATGGCACAAAGTACAGGGGGGAGTGTCTATCTGCTGGAAGGCAGGAGGGCTCTGCAGAGGGACATGGACAGGCTGGAGAGATGGGCTGATTCCAATGGGATGAGGTTTAACAAGGCCAAGTGCTGGTCCTGCACTTTGTCCATACCAATGCCAAGCAGCGCCCCAGGCTGGGGACAGAGTGGCTGGAGAGCAGCCAGGCAGAAAGGGACCTGGGAGTTTGGAGAGACAGGAAGCTGAACATGAGCCAGCAGTGTGCTCAGGTGGCCAAGAAGGCCAACGGCATCCTGGCCTGGATCAGGAACAGTGTGGTCAGCAGGACCAGGGAGGTGATTCTGCCCCTGCACTCGGCACTGGTGAGGCCACACCTTGAATCCTGTGCTCAGTTCTGGGCCCCTCAGTTCAGGAAGGATATTGAGGTGCTGGAGCAGGTCCAGAGAAGAGCAACGAGGCTGGTGAAGGGACTCGAGGACAAGTGCTACAAGGGGAGGCTGGGGGAGGCTGAGGGAGCTGGGGTTGTTCAGCCTGGAGAAGAGGAGGCTCAGGGGTGACCTTATCACCCTCTACAACTCCCTGACAGGAGGTTGGTGTCAGGTGGGGGTTGGTCTCTTCTCCCAGGCAACCAGCAGGAGGACAAGAGGGCACAGACTCAATCTCTGCCAGGGGAGGTTTAGGTTGGATATTAGGAAGAGATTTTTTACGGAGAGAGTGCTCAAGTATTGGAATGTGCTGCCCAGGGAGGTGGTGGATTCACCATCCCTGGAGGTTTTCAAGATGAGACTGGATGTGGCACTTAGTGCCATGGTCTAGTAGCAATGGTAGGGGTGGACTCGATGATCTTTGAGGTCTCTTTCAACCTGGTTGATTCTGTGATTCTATCGTTCTGTCTGCAGTACTGCGGTGGTCAGAGTCCTGCCTCCTCCAGCTTTTGGTGCTGATCTTTGATCACTGGAATCTTCTGTCACCTCCCTGAGGTGCTCCAGTGGTTCGGGTTCTATGACATGTATACTTATACTTACTGTGGGAAATACTGCTTTCCTAGGGAAGAAATCATCTCATTCATGCCTGCAGGTAGCAAAACACAGTATCTGTTATGGATGCCCCAGCATGCCATATTGTCCATGTTTGCTGTTTTGTCTGTCTTGTGATATCCCCTAGAGCATTTGGCAGTGGTCAAGGTACCAGCTTTGGAAGGGTGGGCTGGTGAGTTTATGACCAGATTTGAGAGCTCACGTGCTCTGGTTAATGCCAGTCTCAGTGCAACCTGCCAGCAAGATTATTGCAAAATGTTGAGTTTGTCAGTCAAAGGGTTTCCTTGGAGAAGAGGATGGCTTCATTATTCTCTTTGTTTGATGATGCTGTCCTCTCTGGCAGAAGCTTTAGTTCTGGACCTTCCAGTCCCAATAGAGAAGCACACCTGTGTGAAGTTAGGTGGTATATTGGGCACATTGCAGCAGGTATTTTTTGTCTTGCTGGATGGCTGAGAGGAAGAGACCATAGCCACGTGCAGTTGAGATACCTTGTCCACTGTTTGTCAGTGACCTAGACCAGCCCTTACAGTTGCTGATTGTTTAGAGCACACAGATAAAAATAGACTCTTTCATTTATATATGCAAACAAGCATGAACCAGGCTGTCAATCAGTGCTGTAGTTGGATGCTTATGGGCCCAAGTGTGGAAGGTATGTGTGTAAATTGTGCTACCACCCTCAAACCTGTCTGTGTCTTCAGATGGGGTTTGCAGTGGGACTGGGAGAAATTAGTCCTGCTTGAAAGAGTTGCAGGACAAATGTGGCTATTAGATGGCAGAGCTAAACAATGGTTGGATAGCAGGAAGGGCTGAAGCACTCCTAGATGTCTGTATGCTTATTACTTGTAAACTGTACCTTTGTTGCCATTAATTATTTTCAGTGAAATTAAGCACATGTCTAGGTGGTATTTTCCTTTGTCAGAATAAATATTTAAATAATTGTCACCTTTTTCTTCCATAACATCCATAGGGATTTTTCTCCTCATTTTCTGACTCCCAGACTTAGAAGGTGAGCCCTTCTTGGGGTGCCTTCCTTTTGCATTCATTTGGGACATGTGCATTGATTGGTATGCAGGTTTTGGTGCTAAGTGTGTTAATGATTGCTGGATGCCCTTGATGTGGAGTATCATTTTCATAGAGTGACATGTAACTACCCTTTCCTCTCTTGTTGCAGGCAAGTGGGACTTCAGTAAAGTCGATCACTGCCTTGAAGCTTACAGGGTGAAATCTTCCTTCATCCACCTGGAACATTTGTATTTATTCAGGGAAGAAAAAAGGAAAGCAGCTTAGCTTCTGTCTGACATGCAGGGAATTTTTGTATTAATTAATCATGTGGTATTTCCTATGGCTTATTGCAAAAAAAAAGACTTTTTTCATGTCCATTTGCGAAAACTGTGTAATAAATAAGATGTTAGAGTAGTAGTCAAACCTGCTTCAGTTGCCTAACGTGATGCAGTGATGAAAAGTCAATTGTGGGTTAGCTTCCAGAGGACTGAGTGATGATTTTTTGTAAAAAAATATCTTTTTATTTCTCCATTAAGGCAGCCTTTCTGGTTTTTTTTTATGAGTGTTGGACAGTGGTAGGAGTAGGCTGATAGGTTTAAACCTGTTTCAAGATTAGCACAGAGTGTGTTGTAACACACATGCATCAAACAATAAAGCAAGGCGTGGTAGATGTGTTGTGGATGATGTCCAGCTTTGTGGATGACTCCTCTTCAGTGGACATGAGACCTGTGGAAGGTCAAATATGTTTTAGAGGTCCTGCCAGCTTCTTGGTTGCAGCTGATCCCTGAATCAAAACTGGGTGAGAGAACCTTAAATCGAGGAAGTCTGTTTGTTCCTAAATAACCTGATAGGTTTCCCTGTGTTTGTGAGGCTGGCTGTGGGTAGACTGTCATTGTGTTTAGGCATGTACTTGCCTGCCTTCTACGATTTTCAGACCAGGGTTTTCTTATGCAGGAAGTGTTTTAAAACTAAACTGGGGGTCTGTGCACTCGTCAGAATGTCTTTGCATTCAAATTTGCCCAGACCCAATGTTTGTGTGTCACCGTGAGATGAATCCTGTCACCAGAGTTGTTTTCTGTTTCTCTTAGAGCAAATCGGAGCCCTGGCCGGGCAGCACATTGTGCATGTGGCCTGTGGTGAGTCTCACAGCGTGGCTCTCAGTGACCAGGGCCAACTCTTCTCCTGGGGTGCTGGCAGTGATGGACAGTTGGGCCTCACCACTACAGAAGATGCAGTGACGGTACCAAGGTAAGCATGTAACAGGTTCAGGTTTCCTTAAGGCAGCTCCTTGGAGGTAATACATTAGGGGTTGCTCCCCTTCCAGCCTGGGATTAGTGGGAGGGTCACTAATGGAGCAGTAATCAGGCACTTCTCATGTAGGGATGTAAGGGTGATTCCTTCTCCTTTTCAGTACTGTTCCGGTTCCCCCGAGCCACCCAGGACTCAAGTCCGCTGGAGTTCTGGACAGGACAGACCTTTTGCCTGTGGGTGGTCGAGGCACGGAAGAGAAAATCAGAGCCTATTTGGCTTCCTCAATGAAAAATGCCACAATGTTTTGTACAGAACAAGGAGGTACATGAGGGAGGACTCAATAATAGAAATGCTGTGTGTGAGACCCATCTCTATTCCAGTCCCTAGGAAGATAGGAGGGATGTGTCCAGAACAGGAAAAAAAATGATGTGGCTGAGTGAAATGGCACTTCAGCTCTGAAACTCCTGCTGTGTTACCTCTTAGCAGCAAAGCTGCTAACTAGCCTACTGCAATTCTGAATAGTGAATGTTGCTCTGAAAGTTTAGGATAGTGCCCAGTTTTATTAATTTACTTATTTAATGTATCTTACCTGTGTCTGATAGGCTTGAGTGCAAGGGTGTATAGAGGGTGGTAGGGGCATAGCCCAGTGGCAGACACCAAGACTCCTTCACCCAAAGCAGTTCACAGATGACAGGTCTCAGCTTACCACTGTAGTAATGGTAACTGGTCCCTCTGTACTTCATGGTGTTTTATCATGCTGTGTTAATAACAGATGTAGTCTGTCATTTGGTCTGCCACTGCAGATTCAGTGCAGACTGGAAGTTTGAGACATCTCTCTAGGATGGCTGTCTTTGTTGAAACAGTATTTAAAGGAAGAGTTTCAATTACAAAAGATTGATGTTTGAGCTGAAGGGGTCTGTGGGAAGACAATCCTGAACTTGCATGTGGTTCTGATATAACGGAGATTGGCAGGCTCACATGTTAGTGTGATAGTGCCATTTTAAAAATAACACTTTTGTAAAATAACTTGAACCTTTGACATGCTATTCTCTGTACAAAGCACTGAAGAGGTTTTGGTGCTATAACTCATGGGAACTGCTAGGCCTCTGACAGCATGAAAAATGTCAGTGCCTGAAAAAAAATAGTGAGAGAGACACACCAAGAAGCAGCTATTTTCACCATTTCCAGATGGTTGGATTCAGTGTCACAGCACGAAATGTATTTGAATTAGTAGTCAAGTGTCTAAAGGTCTCCACAGATTTGCATCTATTATGTAGGGATATGTATCACCTTCAAGACAGTTCCTCAGCCTCAAAACCATAGGCTGTGTGTATATGTAAAAGAAATATCTGGGTGGAAATCATAATTTTTGTCTAAGGTGATACTGATCTTATGGACACAGTCTAAAATAGTGTCGTCATCTTCAGGTTGATAAAGAAATTGAACCAACAGACGATACTGCAGGTTTCCTGTGGAAATTGGCATTGCCTGGCTTTGGCAGCAGGTACTGTAACATTCATTATTAATTACCAAGATTTGTGCTGTTATTTTGCACAGTGTCCAAGACTACATATTTCTGCATAATAAATTAAGGACATCCCATATCCTGACTGCTTTCAGGCCAAATGGATGCTATAAAATGGAACAGGTACCGTGAATATGGAGGAAGAGCTTTTCCAATGCTGGCAAGAAAGAAAACATTGCACACAGGCCACCCACTGTTTCACTGGTGAATGATGGCAGGGACGCTTAAAAGCTTTCCATCTTGATGTAGAAAAATGTGTGCAATTAATTTCTTTTTGTTGAAATTATCCTTGGCTATTACTCTTCTGTGTGCAATATGTGGATTCTTCTTTGTTGCACTGTGTAAAGTGCAGGTTTATGTTGTATTTTGCACTTAATTGCTTGTCTGTTTATTTTCCTGGTGGCTTCAGGCTATGCTTTTATTTTGGCAAAGAATATCTTGCTTGATAATTTTTTTTTCCCAGTCATGAGGCTTGGGGTGGGAGTGACGCCTCCAGCACCATTTCTTGTTCATTTTGAGAAACTCACCATACTCTTTCATTCCTTCTTTCAGATGGCCAGTTCTTCACATGGGGGCAGAACAGCTATGGTCAGCTGGGCTTGGGCAAAGAATGTCCCTCCCAAGCCAGTCCACAACGTGTCAAGTCTCTTGATGGGATCCCTCTGGCTCAGGTTGCTGCAGGTGGAGCCCACAGTTTTGCCCTTTCTCTCTCAGGAGCTGTGTTTGGCTGGGGCAAGAACAGCTCAGGACAGCTGGGACTAAGTGATGAACGAGGTATGAAAATTATTCTCCTAGGTGAAAGAAGATTAGACTACTTTGGCTTAGTGTCTCTTGTTGCATTGACAGTGTATTTTTACTGAGTGGATATGTAACACTCAGTAACTCTTCTTGGGAGGAGTGGGGAGAGGAACGGTCTCTGTCTCTACAGGCTTTTCATACTTGGTAGGAACAGAAATACATTTTTTTCTGCTTGTGGATGTTAGTGGAAGTGAGAAGGGTCAAAAAGGAAGATCATTATAAAGTGTCAACATGCAGTCACTAAAGGAAGTGCTCACATTCTTTCTCCCTCTTCTCAAAAATGCTTTGTTCATATTTTGTTTGAAGTTGGTGTGAGGCAAAGGATCTCCCTGCAGGACAGCAGACTGAACCCATCCCCTCATTTGCCCATGTTTTTGACCGGTGAACTAGAAAATGCTACATAATTATGGCAATACAGAATATCTCAGTATTTTGTTTAGTTCATTTATTGTACAATTCGCTATACACATAGGGCCTATGGTAGTTTTTTCAGGTGCCCGTGTTCAGTGAAGTGTGGTCATCAACAAACTTGAAGATAGGTTTATAAATGAGGCTGAGGAACAGGTATGACATTGCTGCTAGTCTGAAAAGCCCAGATCTCCTCTACTTGTTGTTCACACATTCCTAACCTTCTGCAAAAAAAAAAAGAAAAGCAAGTGGAAGATTCAAATCAACCTCTATTGTTTTCTGCATAGTTGCTGAGTAGCTTTAAATATCTAGGCAAGCTTCTGAGTGTAGATGTAATACCTAGCATGCACAGATAACTTACTTTCTGTGACTGAGTACAGGAGGTGTGAATGTTATGTTGCATAATGTAGTAGTATATAAACACTGTACCTTGCAAGGGAGAATGTACACATTTTGTGTGCCTGTAATGGAATGATGCATTTTGACAATCCACCTTACCAACTGAAACATATTTAAAGCAATTACTCAAAAAGCAGCCTGTAGTTTAGCAAAGGAGACTAATATATTGTATGCATAATTTTGTCTTGCTTCACACTTTTAGAAGTATGAAACACACTTGTATAACTTCTAACATAATTTGTCTTCTCTCAAAAAATGCTATAGGTCTATTCTCTTGTATTGTAATGTAAACTAGAGCTGATCTGGTATAAGAGCAGCCATGTTCTTGCCATGTAGATTGACAGATAAATGCCTCTAATTTGAACAAAGCTGCAGTTTATGTGAGAGGCTTTGACATGGGGCTAATTTTAAATGAGCATAATAGGCATCTGCTCGTGGGGTGGTGCTGGCCAGAGATCATAGTCTGCTTATGCCTCAATACATGGCTCTGTAGTAAGTGCGTGGTATTTATGGTAAGTGAAGAATGGTAAGACTGTGTGAATTATACTTTGTGAATGTGAGCAGTGAAGTCTACAAACATGGGTATTCTGCAGTGCTGTTATTTAAACAATTATGCTGTAGAGATAAGTAGTGTTGTTCCTGTCAAAATAAAGATCAGAGTGCTAAAATAGAGAACAAAATAAATGAAAAATCTTATCTCAATTCTAAATCCATGAAATTGTGACTGTTTTCCTTTCACTACCCAGAAAATAAAGCACCTTACAAATCCTTAGGTGAGAATCTTAAAAAGCAGACAACTTCTATGGGTAGGAACCTTATTTTCTTTTTGTTGGTATGAAGTAAGCAGCTTCTCCCCTTAATATCTAACTGTTTTAGAGTGCCTACTGCTCCTTGAAATGCTTAGCTTCTATTTTTACATCACTAGAACATGTAACCTTGCTTACCGTATTCATCCCCAGGAGAGACACTTCTACTGATTAGAATGTCAGAGTGAAGGAGAAAAGCATTACTTAATGGTTGGCAGTGATTAGCCTTTGCAAGCAGGAGGATCTTCTGCTTAAAGGATGACAACAGAAAGGAAGGTTAGGTATTTAAATACGCATTGGGATTCAGCTTGTCTGGTGTGTTGCGCAAGTGTCTCCCACATGTCAGGATTGTTCTGTGTGGAAAAGGTCTAAGCAAGGTTTTGAAATCAAATGTTTGCAGTCATCACTGAGGAGTCTGAAATGGAGCACAAAGCTGAAGGTGGATGTAGCTAGGCTGCATTCATCGTATCTCCCGAACAGCAAGTGCATGTTGGGTTTATACAAGTTTCTCAACATTTGCATTCTTGCTCTGGACAATTTTGTTTGAGTCAGACAAGTCTTTTCAGAACTGGAGGGGAAAAATGGCAGTGAAGTTCTCTCACTGAAGTGTTTTTCACCACGGTTGTTAAAGCCTCCCTTGCGCTCACAGGTTGCGTCTGAAAATCAGACTGTCAGTGGTTTGCTTGAATATGTAAGTTTGTGTTTATGAAACAGCTACTTTATATTCTGTATCTTCAACGCAGACAGAGAATCCCCTTGTCATGTGAAGCTGTTGCGGTCTCAGAAGGTTGTTTACATCAGCTGTGGAGAGGAGCACACAGCAGTTTTGACAAAGGTAAAGATGCTGACCTGGGAAACCTGGCTGCCCGTCTCAGTAGTTTCCTGGGTAACAGTAGAAAAGAACAGATTGACTTGGTGCATTCCTTCTGATCCCAGTAGAAGAAACTGTGTGGAAAGTATAGTGTAATTATTTATTCTGAGATTCATTACCAACATGATCCATTACTGATTTTGAAGATCTTAATAATCTGTGGCAATGAATAGCAACACTCAGGTGAACTGCTTAAAGAAATTGTCATTGTGCAAAAACATTAATATACTCACATTCAAAAGGGTGAAAATATCACTTTGATGGTCAACAGTGATGCTGTGCATCAGAATAAGATGGAAGCCAAAACAAAAGTGTTTTAAAAAAACATTAGCTGTCACTCACAGCATTTACAAGAGGTTTTCAGTTCTGATTCTGTGGTGCCAGTTCCAAACCTGCTGCTTCCACATGGTGTATAGTTAGTGGACAGAGGACAGGACTAGGATTTGGAAGGTTACTGCTCAGTTTTCGCTTTGCCTCTGCCACTTCCTGTTTTGCTGCCTCAATGTTTTCTGCTGTAAAATGAATTGGGATTCCTGTGGGAAAAACAGTCGCAGTCTTTTTGATCAGCAGCTGACAGAGATGAGTGTAAAGGATTGGCTACTTAATCATGTACCTAAAGATAATTCTGTTAGTTTCTGATGGGTGGCAAGGTAGCTTCTTTGGAAGCTGCATTAGCAGAACCCGTTTCTTTTCCGAATCCTTTGGAAATTTCCAGCAATCTCTGCGTAAGCTTGGGCTTGTACTGAAAGATGAGTTGGAGACATACTGCTGGGTTATGGGCCACTAAATGGAGAATATGCTGTTTGATTTGCTAACAGAGTGGAGGGGTGTTCACGTTCGGTGCAGGTTCCTGTGGGCAACTGGGACACGACTCCATGAATGATGAAGTGAACCCCCGAAGAGTTCTTGAGCTAATGGGCAGTGAAGTATCCCAGATTGCCTGTGGCAGGTAAGTCCTGTGTACAGTCAGAAATTTTTTTTGGTGAGGTTAATGTTGATACTGAGTCATGCGAATAGAGGGAATAGGCTTGCTTCTGCATCCCATGTGTAAAGCTAAATTAATTTAAATTTCACTTTCTATGAGAATTTTAAGGCCCTCTAAAGGAGATTGTTTTTTTAACTGGAGCTGTACCTTGTGCTGTAACCTGTAAAAGATACTTTTCCATCTTAATAATTGAGCAGGACTTCAGAGCAGCATACCTTTTGGTCACAAGTTTCCAATCTCTTTCATGAAAAGTGAGTTGATAACACTGGTGCTGTGTTGCCTTTTGATATACACAGGCTTAACAAATGATTAAGCTCATACTGTGAGCCTGATACCAGCTGTATGTTGGCACAAGCTGCTTTGTCACTTCCACCTAAAGTGCTCCGTTCCATAAACTGGTGCCATGAGGTGGCAAAAACTGAGCATTAGTGCTGGTGTAAAGATGCTGCTTCTCACCAGCTTCTGGCCTAGAGGAACCAAGAATAAGTTTTAGGCTGCATAGTTTGGTTTTTTTTTGTGTGTGTTTTGGGGTGGCTTTTTTATTTATTGTTAAACAAGGCCCAAACTTTGTACCCATCTCTTACAGACATCACACTTTAGCCTTTGTGCCTTCTTCAGGAATGATCTATGCATTTGGCTGTGGAACACGAGGACAACTGGGAACAGGGCACACTTGCAATGTTAAGTGTCCCTCTCCCGTCAAGGGTCACTGGGCAGCTCACAATGGGCAACTATCAGGGAAACCTGGTATGTACTATGTGGAATTTGGAGTTGCAAATGGATGTAAATAGTTTCACTTCACCCATGACTGTCTAAAAATATCTTAACATTGTTCTGTGAAAGTTCTGGAAATCATAAATGAAACCCATCCTCTTGTCCGAAATGTACTATGGAAGTTACTGGGTGACCTTTAGCTCGTTCTGTTAATGTGTGCCATCTCCCTTTCTCTTTTTATGGCCAAGCTCAGCATTTAGCAATCTTGAGACTTCATGAAATTGTACTAATATGGAGTTCCAAAGGCTTTGTTTTCTCTTTAAAGCCCCTATTGTAGTTAAATAAAGACAGCTTTTCCTTCCTGTCAGGCCCTGTGTACCTCTCAAGAAAGTGCTACAGTTCTTGAGTTCGAGCTGATTTCAGCCTGGCCTTCAAAGGTCCCAGTTGCTCCTTGTAGTTGTACAGTCAAGGGCAGATGTTGGGGAACAGACCCAGTAGGGACTTGCATTCATCAGTCTCTAACACAACTGCGTCTTTCTTCAACAGATGCCTGTAAATATCACATTGTTAAACATATCTTCTCTGGAGGAGACCAAACATTTGTGCTTTGCTCCAAATATGAGGTAAACCAAATGAAGTAGCTTTTCAAGTCGCTTCCCTGTCCCAGCCTTTAAGTGCATCTTTTGTTTTTGCTAAAATCTTCAGAAATCTAAGCATTGCTTTGGAGTCCATTTTGCGTTACAAACCTTACTAGTTATGGCAGTTGTTACAGGGATTTCCAGCTCTTTAGGAGTGGCTGAAAGTCGCCTTCCTTTAGAGGCACACCAAAGCCTTTGGGAAGACATTGATTTCAGTTTGATCAACAGAGAGAGGAGTCCAGTCTTTGCAGCTTGGAAGTGAACGACTGCTTTCCACCTATGACACTGGAGTCTGCATAATTAATGTGTAGGGCCATCAACCACATACACTGGGATTTTGTTAAGCTATGCTGGATGGAGGGATGAATGCTGAATTGTTTTTTTTGCATCTGTCTTATTTCTTTCAAGAAGTGTTTGACATACACTTTTGAGGCATGGAAATGGGTCTAGGTTAAATGTACTAAGCCTGCAGTTATATATGGCAGTATTTAAGAGGGCTTTGGTACATTTAGAAAATCATATTTTGATTTTTTTATTTTCCTCTTTTTAAAATTTATTTGATGATTTTTTTCCCATACCCGTTCATGCCTTCCTGTGTGGACTTTTTAGTAATGCCAAAACTTCCTAACCAAAGCTTTTCAAAGACCACACTAAGGAAGCTATCAGTTATATATTAAAATAGAGATTATGGATAAGAAGGAATTGTTTTACAAGCCTTGTCTTTGCTGAAATCTGTATCTTCTCACAGAATTCCTTGCCTGCTGATGATTTCCGGACCATAAATGAAACACGTTACACCTGTTTAATAAATGATGAAACTATAGATGTCTGGAGGCAAAAGCTTTTAGAAAAGAACAGTTCTAATTCTGTCAAGTAGGTATTGTGACACTGGACAAGCCTTTTGTTGACAGTTCTATTTAAATGATTTTGTTGGCTTCCGTGCCATGGTTTCATTTGAAATTCAGCAACCTTTTCAGGTGTGGTTCTTGGTCATTTCCAAGGGGAGGACAGTTGCCAGTCACAAGGCTGCCAGGTGAGAGCTTTTGAGTAAAACCAGAGGAACCTGAGGCTGCCTCAACATTGCAAATGGTGGGTGGGAAATGGATTGTAAAGTTGTTCTTTGTAGTGTGCTTAGAGTTCATGAAAAGCAGCAAGAACTTGTGAACAGACTTAAGTTTCTTCCCCAGTGTACCTGCCATGAGAAGGGCAGAATAGGTGGAAAGGAGGCAATGCTAACACTCCTCCTTTCAAAGAGGGACATTACATGATCCTGAATGAGCTGCTTGCCCTCTCTGCCTCTAAAGGGGTGATGCTGGCATTGTTTGCCATAGAAGAAAGGGAAGAGACCTGAAGAGATTTGCTGTGTCATCTGTTTGTAACCCACATCTCTGTTTTCTTTTGTCCTCCTGCTGCAAACAGTAATGTTGTTCAGATACTGTCCTCAGCTGCCTGCTGGAATGGAAGCTTCTTGGAGAAGAAGTAAGTGGCAAACTTCAGAAGTGTGGCTTTCCCCTGAGGCAGACTGAAATCCCTTTATTTCACTCACTGATGCAGTGGGATTTGATTTTTCTGATCAGATTGGAGACAGAATCAGAGAGTATCCCCTAGAGAGCTGGGTGGTCCTCTAGGGCGGACCCCAGAGCTGGGTAAGGAAGGCAAATGGTCTAAGAAAGTGCATGGTGAGTGTACTGTAGATGGCACACATTTCTTGGAGTTGTCACAACTGTTATATT